GGGGCTGCTCCCGGGGGGGGGGGATTACCTTCACAAACTGCACATCGCTGAGGATGTGGACTGAGTAGTCAGGTGTGTAGAGGTTGTTGTTGCTGCCGTACAGTTGGGTGTTGCTCCCACCAAAGTCACTGCGCTCTCTATTCGGAGACTCAGAGCGATTCAACCCGCTGCAGCGAGAAGGGGATCGGTTTACTGCAGATGGTGAGGAAGAGGAGACAGAAAGAAAAGACGACAAGGAGGAGTGGGTAGGGAGAACAGGGAGTGGGAGGAGGGAGAAAGAGAAAGGTGCTGTTTACTGAGGTCCAACAGGGCTAGCAGGACATTGTCACCAGGCGGTGGAAAGGGGCCTTCACCTTCCCGTCAGAGTCCAGCAGGGAGCTCAGCTGTTTGGTTGGGGTTGATTCCCTTGAGGCATACAGATCCTTTCCTAGGGTCTCTCCGAGCAGGGGCTTGGGCATTTGTTTCGCCTTAGACAGCGGCAGAGGTGGTCCACTGGTTTTATTGGTTTTTATCCTAAGATTAAGTGCAAGAGGACCTCAAATGCATGGATACAATGCCATGAGCATGGCTTGCTATACCAGAGTACAAAACCCTTCAGCAGGGTGACATAGTCTACGTGTGGCAAGCCCTATTTTAGAAAGACCAAGGCCTTAGGTTTGCCCTCAAAATATCTGTCACAGCTCGCACAAGCAATCGTCACCGAGGGGACGTGTTTTGGTGTGGTTAATTCAGACCTGCCCGAACACTGGCAGAGCTTGGGAGAAGCGCACAAACAAGAGATACACAAATTGTATAGATACTTGCGAATTGTAAATCACATTGATAAACTGTTAATATATGTTCTATTCTTGTCCTTGACAAATGTTTATAGCGATCTGAAAGACCAGTTCGACTCCTTAGAGTTCTGGGCTAGAAAACAGGGTTGCATTGGTCAGCCAGTCCTCTGCCCTAAGGCTTCTGGACCTGCTATCTCTAAGAACTGTTTGAGTGGGAATTCCAGCATCCTGGGTATCTGAAATGTGAGTTAGCAAGAACAGGGGAATTGGGTGGGCACTGCGATCTCCCAGAACCACTTTCAGGGGTAGTACTGAGAAGGATCAAAGTGGGGTTCATGAAAGTGTGGGTCAGGGCAGGGCTAGCTCTTGAATAGGTCTAAGTAGGGGCTGAAATAATCCACAGGTTCTCTGTCAAAGATCCTAATTTCTAGTCAGCTTTTTACATTTTAAGGAATAGTTTTTTGCAGAGTTCAATTAAGACTATGTTATTTGGTATCAAAATAGACTCTGAACTACCATCCCTGGGATCAACAGAAGACAGGGTGCTGAAAGTGACCTCAGCATCACCTCTACCATAAAATAGCCCTAGCAAGAGGCTACAAAGCCAAACCAAGCCACTCTGCATTTTTTCCAAACAAAGAAAACAGGAGGGTGTCAGCTTCTCACAACCAAGATTAGTTCAGGGGCTCAAAGGAAGAAACAAATTCTTCAAAGATTCTGTTTCTCGCTTTTTGGGGATAGAACCTTGGGACTTTAATTTTGTCTCTTCGGCTGATGCTGCCACCAAAATATTGGGTTAGCAACTATTTGTAGAGTCTTGGAGGTTCGCAATCACTTTAGCTGCCAAACTGTTACTGTCTGGCAAACCATGTAACAAAAAGATTAAGTAATAATAGGCTGAATTATTTTTTCACTAGAATCATAATAGTTACTGTCTTGATATAATTATAGGATTTAGGATTCAAATTCCACCTTGCCCTTCGCAGTAAATGTCACTCATTTATTTCTTATTACATAACCCCGAAACCTGGAATCACCTTTGACCCCTCCCCATACTAGAAATCCAACTCAGGACCTTGCATTTGCCAGGCAGGCATGGTGCCATGGAGCTACATCTCCGGTATTACCTTTGACTCTTTTTACTGCAGCACAATATGCCCATCTTTGTAAAAATCTCTCTCTAATCAAACCCAGTCCCTATTCCTTTTACCCAACAGTCTAATTCCTCCATTTACAATTTTATAAAGGAGCCCCCCCAATGTGTGGGGGATATATTTCAAGACCCTTAGTGATGCCTGAAACCAAGGGTAACATCTAAGTATTCTGTCTTCTTCCATGCATGCAGTATAATAAAAAATACAGCCAATGCTTATATTAAAATTTGGTTACAGTAAGACACCTATTAATCCCTCCTCAGATGACTTCTTCTTGCTTCAAACACACTTATCCTTCTGGGCACTTTCTGAAGGAGTTATGGAAGTCCTTTTTGTGTATATTTTTAGTTGCTCTGTTGTGCCTGTTCTAATGTCTTTAGTCACTTAAAAATGTTTTTCTTTTATGATCTTTTTAATGTTGGGGAAAAGCCTGAGATTGCATGATGGTGGATCCAGTAGAGAAGGTGGATGAAGGCACACTGTAATGTTTTTATTTGATGGAAATTGCTGTAAACAGTTTATCAATAAGGCATGATAAAATACAATGGATATTTAAATTAAAAAATTATTACAGTAAAGACATATTGCCATCAAACCCTCATACTCTTTCTTGCTTTCAACACATTTATCCCATTGTTCTTGACAGTGGGTCTCTTATAGTAATGTTTTAAAAATTTTAAACATTAATATTATGTTTTGATCACCTTATTAATTTAATTTACAAATTAGATAAAATGAAAGATTAACAATATTTATCTCTCTTAACTAAGAACTGTAATAATATATTAAAATAAAAAATATTTAAACCTTCTGACTTGTTTATTTCTGTAATTTTCCATTCAACATTTATAGACCATAGTTAAACATGGGTAACTAAAATCATGGAAAGTGAAAATGTGCATAAAGGGGATCCTATAATCTATTTCAGCCTTACCTGCCAGAATCACATTTTAAAACATCAAATAGCTTCCTATTATATCTAAATAAATCCAAACTCCTCGTTGTGACCCTGAAACTCCCACGACCTGGCCCCTCTCCTGCCTGATTGTCTCTGGGGCCTCCTTTCCCCTTGCCTACTCTGCTCTATCCCTCTGGCCATGCAAACTACCCCCTTACTCCACCACTTTCTTAAGTAGACAGCAACTCTCTGTTCCCTTGCCCCTGCCCAGGCTACTTGCTTCTCAGTCCTTACCTCCCTGGAAGTACAATCTTCTCTGAAGGCCTTGTCTGGCCACTCTAAGATTCCCTCTGTTTTCCTCCATCACAGCCTTTATTCATTCCTTCAAAGCACTTCTCCAAAGTATTAATTACATGTTTGTACTTGCTTATTAGGTTTGCTCAACTCTAAGTTCCATGAAGGCAGAGACCTTGTCTTTCTTCGTCATTATTAATGCATACATAGTGCTTAGCACAGTAGAGTAGATATTCAACACAAAGGTGCAGAGTAACAAGTTTGTACCTAAGGGTCCATTTCTGGGGGTATTTAGAATGTGAATGTTGTTTAAGAAAAGGTTTTAAAGCTCTTGAATTCCATCTAAAGGGCTGGAAATGTAGCTCAGTTGTAGGGCCTGCCTGGCAAGTGTAAGGCTCTGAGTTCAATTCGTGGTACCCCCCCCCAAAAAATTGTACTGAAGTCAGAAGGACAATTTCTCCAAGAAGCTAGTAGTAGGAGGACAACAGAAATGGAGGTGGATAGAGTGAAATATTGCACACCCAGAATTCAAACAGCCTCAGTCAGGCCTTGGCTCAGCCCATGAGAGAGAACCTATAGGGAGGACCACCCCCTATTAAACCTGCCTGTTTAATAAGAGTATGTGAAGTGGGGGTTGGGAGGGGGACTGGGGTGTGTCCTGGAGTCAGATGCTCAGGATGATGGGCAACTAAAGGGACAGTGTCAGTGCCACAGAGGATATAGCGATCCATCAAGGTGACTGTAAATGGTAACAGCATTGGGCAGAAAAGAGTACATTTCAATCTGTCCTGGTCCCTTGAAAAAAGACTGATAAGTTCTGGCTTGGCTAGCCCTTTGGTGGCTGTCCAGAGAGGCTGTTGGCTGAGACAGCCAGTGTTTTCTACTCCTGGCTAGTTGCTGAGCAGGCAGGTAGTTTTGCAGAAAAGAAGTCTCTTTGGCATGAGAGTAGAGTCGAGAATAACCCTAATTGGGTGGGTCTCAGCCTCCACTCAGTTTGGACATAACCAAGGGGAGAGGATGTGAGCAGGGCCCATGGCTTCAGTCGCCTTGAGAAAGCACCATCATGCTTTGAAGAGTCTCTGCTTTGTCTGGGTGGACGTGGGCTTCGAATAGTCCACACTTGTTATTCCATATCCTTATCCCTTCTGTCACAACCCAAGATCCATTCAGGGAAGATGAGAGGGACTTAGATTCTTCCCATCTGCCGAAGTTTCTGCCTAAATCACTTTTATTTCTTGTTGGAATCAGAGACGACAATTACATTCCAGTTCTCCACAAAACTCTCATCATCTCAAAGGCACCCGGCACAGAAGTCACCGTGTCACACAGAGGGTCTTACAGGTCAAACACAAGCTACATCACCGTTGTGCTGGAAGGAGAAACATGTCTCTCTTTTGTTTGTTTTTAAGTCAATAAGCTATTGAAGGTTTATTCATGAAATCTCAAAGAATTTCCAACACACAAATCACAACTGTTTTATAAAGTTTGGGCCTACAAAATCATTTTTTTTTTTAAAGAAAGAAGCTGCTTCATTTCAGGACAAAGAAGTTCTGCTTCATCTGAGTGTTGTGCAAGATCAGTGTTCTTGTGTCCCAGAGCCTGACAATTCCTCAATAGGTAGGACGCTGAAGACTCAGCGTTTCAGTAATTCAGAGATTTCTGAGCAAGGCAAATGGAAATAGAAATGCTTTTAATACAAAGGAGAAGAAATCAGTAACAGACGAGTGTCCCAGCAGCATGGCAAACTAGTTCAAGTTGTGTAATTCCCTTTGGCATTTCCTAAAAGCACAGAGGCACAGCTCGGGGGAGTAAAGTGGCAAAGAAAAATCTAAATACAGTGCAAAGAGTTCTGAAAGGAGACAAATCAAACAGCAGTGCACAAAACTGGCCACAGGACCTGTCAAGAGGAGGGAGATCAGGCAGCCAGCATTTGCCTGGCCCACTCCTGCTCTTCTATCAACTTGGCTGTGGCATGACTAACTGGTAGGCAGCGGAACTTTCTGGACTGGACCACCAGCTGCTATTGAGAAGTGTGGAAGATCTCATTCCTGCAGGCTTTGAGTGATCAGT